CATAACTGAAATTGTACAGATTCAGGAGAAGCCACAGAATTAGAAGTGAGTGTTGTAATTTATCGAGTGTTGTAGATTTTAGTACATTTTTTTCCTTCTATTGTGTACTAAAGTTTTTTTTGTTCTTTAAGGAACCCTATATTTAACCTAGGGAACACAACCAATTGAAAATGACTAACTTCTTCATGTATTTCTTGGCAAGAATTGTGCTGCTGATTTTTGGTAATTTTATTTCTACAATTGTGATATTTATCTAAAGTAGGCCCTATATTTCACAATGCGATTTTAATGATAATACAGATATAAGTGTTGGGTTATTATATATATATATATATATATATATATATATATATATATATATATATATATATATATATATATATAATGTAAATGGTTATTAAAATATCTTTTCAGAGAAATATTTAAAAACATCCAACACAAATACGCCAGCAGCAACATCTACAGCAGTCTCAGAAATCTATTCAGCAACATCTCCAGGGCCATCAATGCTTCCAACACCACCAACGCCACCAACACCTCCAACGCCATCAACGCCACCAACACCCCCAACGCCACCAACACCTCCAACGCCATCATTGCTTCAAAGACCACCAACTCCTCCAACACCTCCGACGCCATCAATGCTTCCAACGCCACCAACACCTCCAACGCCACCAACACCTCCAACGCCACCAACACCTCCAACGCCACCAACACCTCCAACACCTCCAACACCTCCAACGCCACCAACACCTTCAACGCCACCAACACCTCCAACGCCACCAACACCTCCAACGCCACCAACACCTCCAACGCCACCAACACCTCCAACGCCACCAACACCTCCAACGCCACCAACACCTCCAACGCCACCAACACCTCCAACGCCACCAACACCTCCAACGCCACCAACACCTCCAACACCTCCAACACCTCCAACGCCACCAACACCTCCAACGCCACCAACACCTCCAACGCCACCAACACCTCCAACGCCACCAACACCTCCAACGCCACCAACACCTCCAACGCCACCAACACCTCCAACACCACAGCTTCACTTCTTGGAGTAGACAATCCTAACAATTGAGGAAGAATCACAAGCTCCGCGTTTACTTTGGAAAGGAGTTCTTATTTCTTTTAATCAATTTCTGAACGAATATAAATGTCAAACTGTTGGTATTTGTTTTGTTTCCTTTCTATCATTGATAAAATGGGACGGCATGGCTAACTTGTAGACCATACTAATCCACTGCTGACCATACTTATCCACTGTTGACCATACTTATCCACTCCTGACCATACTTATCCACTCCTGACCATAATGTTGAACTGTTATATTCTCACAACACGATTGGGATGCCATGTTTAAACAGAACAAAATCTTTCCAACTTCATGTTAGAAATGGTTTCTACGACTTGATTTGTTATTTACATTTTGAATAACATAAAAACTACGGCTGTAAGCTATTTTTGTCTAAACGTTAACATCTATTTACATATGAATATATTAACCAAAAACATGTTAAACAAAAATATTATAATTATTTATGGTGTCTGGCCTTAACCCCAACTCGGGATGAAATACAAGTAGAGATTTGAACTCCACCGGTTCTACATCAAAGCTGCAACTCGACCACGCTATTCCACTCTAGTATAAAACATCTTACTAAATTTAACGCTCAGTTGAATGATCGGTTGATTAATTTACATCGGACAGCCAACTAATTACCATTGAAGTTGGAAGAAAACTACAACACACTTAAAGTTTTATTTAAATCGTACATTAGCTGACTAACGTCGTTAACGTTAAAATATTGACATTTCTTTAAACAGCGGGCGATTTCGCGAAGGAGTGATGTTGTGGGGGAGGGGTATGTGTGAGGGTGGGTCGACCCCCAACAAGAAACAACATGACATGAAGACCTAGTGGATTAGTGTGTGTATGTATGTGTATGTATGGGGGGGGGGGTGTAGATGGGGGTGGCCTAACACATCAAACAACTAGTCATTAAAACACAATGGATTATAGTGTGTGGTGGTTGGATGTGAAGATGTGTAGAGGTGGGGTAAGGGGGTTGGTCTCCCAGAATTATTTTACAGTTTCTTTATCGCCCCCCCCCCCCCGGCGCAGCATGTGAACAAGTTTTTTTATTGACTCACAACCACCACAACAAACACACAATCTATCCAGTGGCGTAGCGAGGTCAAGTGTCACCCGGTGCGGCACCTGATGGTGTCACCCCCCCCCCCCGTCGCCCCCGTAAGATATATATATATATATATATATATATATATATATATATATATATATATATATATATATATATATATATATATATATATATATATATATATTTATATGAAAACACGCAAAAATATATGTATCTCTATTTCTTTATATATATATTTATATATATATATATAAACACATATGTATATATCCATGTATGCATTTATCCATAAGCGAAACAATTTAAAAGTAAATGATCCATTTAAA